TTCTTGCTGTGAAGGAATAAGTTTTTGTCACGAAAGGGTAAAACTAATTATTTATCATAGAAGAAAAATTATATTTGTGTTACGAAATAAAGACACTTGTCACAAAAGTGACATTAGTGAAGCAAACAGTAACTCTCATTACGAATGAGTAAAGAAAACGATATTTATAACAAAAGAATAAAGACAATAACTTTGTCACGAAATTGCCGTTAGTGAAACAGACAATAATTTTTATTATTAATGAGTAATGAAAACAACATTTATGACAGATTAATATGGTCGTAAAGAAAAAACGTATTTATGTTATAACAAAATAAAAACAATATTTTTGTCAGAAAGTTGCCATTAATGATGCAGATAATAATTTTTATAAATAGAAAACAAAAAAATGAAAGCAATTTTATTTCAGTCATAAATGGAGCAAAAACTCTTATAAAATTATAGAAAACAAAGGAAATTTACAATATGTTTATCCCTTGCATGTGACAATCACATTATGTTGACACATCTAGTGGTATACAGGGTCGTATAAATGTAGAACGTATCGGCGAGTCACGTGCGTAGGTACACAAGAGAAACAGAAAAGTGGGGGAGTGGAGGGGTTTGCATAACCTGATTGAAACTCGACGCCAAGAGTCAGTAGTATTTCGACGTCGACAGGAGCTGTGTCATTGTGTTTAGACGACTAGTCTCTTTCGTCTACTGACTTTTTCTCGTACACGTCCGTTCACTTGTAACTGGTACTAATCTAACAGCTGCAAAAATCTTTACTGCAATGTATGCACGTGCTTACCACTCGTCGGTGAAACACCTCGGGCCCACGTTCTGTAGTTAATTCCTCTGCTATGATACCCACGAGAAGAAGAGCTTGATTATATAGTGCACGCGTGTCAACACAAATAGTAAGTAATGTCACGCACCACCAATTGGCGAACTTCGCAAACATTATTTGACTTTCGATAACCGACGATTACTTACGTCAATTTGTCTTTCAAGGTGTGTTTCACTGAACATTTTTTGTCAGCTGTTTGTTCCCATGGTGGGAATCGAAAACTAATGCATATGGCATCCTCAATTCTCATAGAAAAATCGTTTCATTATTGTCACTAATTAAGATAGAAGAAGATAAGTTCATACTTATGTCAGAATGCAAGCTATCGATCGATTTTCTTCTATCGAGTGTCACGATATTCAGAGAATTACCAATACTAACACATTCGTAGCACATATTTTCGACTGTAAAACGAAACATATGCGCTGCTTCGCGTTCTGTTTACAGCCGAAAATAAACCCAATAATTTATTACTTTTGCATCCGACAGCGTTTTCGGTGCTCGGGTCATCTTTCTGTCTGCGTTTACATAAATATGTCACATCGTAGTATCGATCTACACAAAGCTGAGTGGGGATCAAGATTCGAAACCGAGCGATTCTTATAGACTACATCGAAAGTGCATGAGTCAGTCTACGTGCAACGAATTATCGTGAAAACTGAAAACTAAAAACCTAATCGCATTTGGAAGAAACTAATCAGAGTATATTCGTTACTATTTAGATCTATCGCAAGCAACCGCAATCGACTTTCGACTTGGTATCTTAATTGTACCTTGATTTCTTATCTTTTTATAAGTCGATCGTTTGATTTAGGCACGTATTTTCCCAAGAATGTCGGCAAACCTATTCGCGTTTAAAACCGAATGCGGTAAATTTTTATAACATTATACAGGATGTTTTCGAAATCGTGATACAGGCGGTAACGAGTTGAATCTATACGTGCAGGAATAAGTCAAGAATAATTCTTTTGTTTAAGCTTTCGTTTTCAAGGAAAGTAAGTTCGAAGATTCAGCAAATACGTGTGCGCTTGAATTGGTATCAACTGACGCGTCCATCATGACATGTCATTTCTACTTGTAAATATTAGGACACGTGAGCCTAACGTATTTTTAAACTCATTTTTGTTTGAAAAGTGGGTCTTAAGCGAAAAAATGTTACTTCTTTTCGATTAATTTCTGGATGTAGAATCATTTTTTGATTGCTTGTACCATAATTTAGGAAATACCCTGTGTACACTCTGTATGATAAATATTGCACGATTAGATGATTCAAGAAATCTAAATTCGATATACACCACGTGTTTACTTCGGGAGTGTGTTCTACAAGAAAAATAAAATTAAAATGTTGTGTAACAAAAAGTCCATAAATGCTTTGTTGAGAAGTTGTAACAAATATAAGAAATGTGAAAGATATGATAACACTAATGTGTGTGTGTACAAAAGATTGGATAAAATCGCAACCAACTGAAATCAAAAATAAATTCAATAACTTGTCGATGTCAAATTTATGTGAACAAAGGCAGGTGTCATTTTGAAATTTAACAACGTTTAAACCATACTTTGTATTTTTATCATGAATTTTTAACGGAAAAATGCGAGACACCCTGTATAAATTAGAATAGTTTCCCACACTTTTGGTTCAGAATCTTTTCTATTGGATACTCCTATTGGTAAATTGTTTACATTAACAAAATTACTGCTTGAAAATACATATGTATTGCAAAATACTAGTTTGAAGATAAATTTCCCCAGATCTCCTCAACGTCAGTGATCAGTTGGCAAACTATGACCTAACATTATTATTAGAATAAAACATTTGTATCTATGAATTAGTCTATTCGAAGATTGAGCAGTATATAACATTTGTAAATATTCATCAACTGTGATTTACAGTAGAAAAACAACGAAAATACAAATTTCGTGTGGACTTTGAACTTGAACCTTGCATTCACTTTTCATAGAACGTGCGGCGCTCGATAAACAGACACAGCTGATAAACGACTTTTCCTGAGTTTACGTCAGCTTTATACAATGGTCGCGGAACATAGTTCTGCAATATGTATGTAAATTGATCACTTACAACAGAGCCACTGAAATACTGAAGTACTGACACTGAAATTAACGTTCGTTTTTCTTATTTCTTGTTTAGATCATTAAGCAAAACACTGCCGATTATAGAATAATACCCTGAAAAATATTATTGCTATTACGCGCTATAATAGAAGTAAATATTATTATTCCACAATCACAATTCGCCATTTTACATTCCTCGAGGT